ATGAATTTGATTTTAATAACATTTCACCTCCATAAAAGGGTGTAAAGAAATAAGAGTTCATAACATAGATGAATGTATTCTTCTTCTGTCATCGTATATTTTGTTTATCTTACATCTTTCCCGAAGGATATATGCATTAATTATGTTATTGTTTGACTATAATTATTTCACATCCCTTTCAGTTTTTTCTCTTGCTCAATGAATCTACCATTATTTAAGAAGCAAAAGAATGGATATTATAGGATAGCAATAAATCTATCAATGAATGTTAGTATTGTTTCATTTTAAAGGATATGAACTTTTCAAAATCATACTTTTTCAATAGGAAAACAACAAAAACCATAATGATAATACTTAGCATTGAAGCAAAAGAGGATAGTAATAGCAATGCTTCATAAAATTGATGTGAATATGCATCTTGCAGCCTGCAAAAGTTATCGTTTTGTCGATTTTAAAAATAAAGAAATTAATAATAGATTTCAATATAAATTCTTATTCTCTACTGAAAAGCATTTGACTATGCGGGCTATAATAGCAAAAGATGCAGTTGATAATAAAATATCCATTTTTTTTTAAATATATGAATTTCTTCATTGTCATTACTTACATGCAAAAATGAGATATGTGCCGTGGTGGTTCAATTAAACTTGCAATGACTGTAGAAGTTATCGCAACGAAAGTAATTATATATTGTGCGGCAATCAATAAATGACTTAATCGTGTGCTTTTGGTATAGTAATATATTGGGAATGCTACAACACAAAGTCTTTCTAAGCTATGCATTAATAAGCTCCAACCACTTATGAATTCCGCTGTTAGAAGTAAAATAGGCACCTGAAACTTTTTACTTGTTAAACTCGTAGTAACTTTATATGTCAATTTAAATGATTATAATACAGTTTTTTTTTTAAAGGATAAGCTAATATTTTTAGAGATGGTGTTTTTTTAAAAAATAAACGAACATCCAGCACGCATTGGTAATGATCGATAGCATGCTCTCCATGAGCAGTATCCATTACTCGTTTTACTCCAAGTGATATCATACTGATTCCCAAAAATCCGCTGTTGAGGAAAACAACCGAAAGAACCAAATAAGAGCTCCTGAAAAAACATCTTCATATGTTATCAGTGCATTATCTTTGAAAGATATTTCATATTGGAGGAAGTAATTTAAAAATA